GGGGAGCCAGGGTGCGGCCCTGTGCGGTGTCTGGACTCGGGTCCTGTCGGGGGGTGGTTTTCTCCGCCAGGATTCTCGCGTCACTTTTGCAGGCCAGTCTTTCGCAGCCAGTCTTTCGCAGCCACGGAGCTGCTGCTCTTGAATTCTTCCTTGGACCCCACTCTGAGGTGTAGTTGGCACTGTTACTCGTATTTCATGCTTCTCAAAAATAGGTGACTGGTGCTTGCTCCATGTAGGATCTAGTACCCACGTAAAGGTTGAAGCTGGTGGTAATTTCCAAGTTGCCCCCCTATTGAAAAGCTCTTGAGACTCAACAAAAGAAGAAACACATCACTGTGAGCCAGACCTAAGTGTTGGTGAAATCGATGGGTGCAGCTTGGGGCATGTGGTTTGTGGAAGAGGTGACAGATGTGACGGCTTTTGACGGCTTGTGAACTTTCTTAGGTGAACAAGATTTCACTTGGAAAAAAGGTTTAGTTACATGGGAAACTATTCCTATCCCTCCACACCCCCCAATGTGAAGCTGCTGAAAGTGGGGCTGTCCAGCTGTCGGGAGCTGCTGGAGGGGCACTGCCCTGTCTGCCTGGCTCTCCTGTGCTGTACGCAGGGGCTGGGGACCCTTAGAAACGGTCTGAACGCCGGTGGGGTTGGTCATTGGGTCACACGTTTCTCAGATACTTTCAAAAGCTTTACGTCGGATAGACTTGTCAGAGGCTGAAGGGCAGACGCCTGGACGTTTAAGGGGCTGCTCGTTATGGGATGTGACTCCGTGGTGTCTTCAGGCCACGCGTGGCTTCGTAGCGTAGTCTGGAGTTGTGTGTCGTGCTTGGAATGCTTTCCCATGTCATGGATGCATGGCTGTCCTCTCCACGCGGGACATGGGGAGAAGAGCAGGGCTCAGGGAGGGCTTTCATAGGCCGTGCACTCGAGCGAGTGCTGGTCACTGCTTCACTGGTGGAACTTGCTTCACTGGACCTTGCTCCAAGATGACAAGGAGTGAAGTGTGAAAAGTCTCAGTGGGGTTTGTAGCAATTCAGTTGTTTTCCTTTTACTTAAGCGCCATGAACAGGAACTATCACAGTCGCTATGAAGTGTCTCATTAATGAGTCTTCTGAAAAGTTTTCTGTCTGTTGAACACATGTCCTCCCTCTTGTCCACAAGTAGCCGAGGCTCTGGATGTGCCTGGTGCGATCGGCAGCTTCACGTGAGCAGAACGCACACCGTTGCTTTCGCCTGTGTGGGCGGTGGAAGGCGGGGGCAGCTTACCGCTCGTCCACGTTCTGGCTTAAAAGAGAACGGGTTCCATCCTCCCTCCTGGCCATCGAGACCCAGGTGGCAGTTCCTTCTGCAACCCAGACACTTGGGACTCATAGAGGAGGTTTCTCGCTCCGAGGAAGTATCGGGACTTGGACCCCAGCCCCTCAGAACTTGCCCACAGCCTTGACCTTGCCGTTCACACCTGTACATTTTGGGGAGGTGTCTAAGTCCAGGCCCTGAATTCCCAGCTGTAGGATGGTGTTAGCTGTGAATTGAAACAGGAGCAGGACTGCGGGGTCCTTTCAGACGGCTCCTCGAGAGTGCGGTGTAAGATCAACCCCTGAGCTGCACACGCCGGGGCAGGCCGTGTCGGGCTAGCGGGCCCAGGTGGGCGTTTGCCTCCTGTGTCAGGACTTGGTGCCTCCACGGCTTTCAGAACTGCTCTCCCTGCTCGGCGCTGGATTGCTGTGGTGGGGACTTTCTCTCCAGCCAGAGGCACCGTACGTCTGGCTTCGCAGCTCTTCCCTGGACAGTTTCCTAGTTTGGAAGATGAATTAGTGCTTGTGTTAGATGACGGGAAGAAAGACGTTGGATCTGGCTACTGCCTGCCACTCTGACTTTATCACCAGAGGTGTTTCATGGCCCTGCACAGTCTGGTCTCACCTGTCCCCTCCCCTGGCTCATCGGGGCAGCCCCTGCTCACGCACAGTGAGGTGGTAGAGCAGTCAGTGTGGTACCTGGAACCTGCACCAAAATCGCGTTCTGAGCCAGAAACTGTCAGAGCCCTACTTTTCAGGCGGAAGCCAGCCCTCTCCTTTGAGACGCCCTTGTGCCTGAGATCCAGTCAGATGTGCTTATTGCCACCAGGAGACCGTTTCTTCGGGTATTCTGCAGCCACTCAGCGCATTAGGGAAACACTTTTCTTGAAAATGTACCATCAAGGAATGAACCCGTAATTGCTGTACCTGTTTTACTGCTCTCCCACATTTCTCATCTAAGAGCTTGACCCTGACCAGTGAGCCATCTTAGTCCTAGAAATGTGAAGACCTAAATTAAAAGCTTCATTTTACCAAAAATTCTTTTCATGTGTGTTCCTGTCTTCTTCCTAAAAAGAACTCTGGCTAGTGTTCATTGTCTTTTTGATGGTAGAAGTGTTTACTGCTTGGAAAGAAGGCAAAACTGTAAAACTTAGTATCTTACTTGGAATCATTTTAGGAGAAAGATTGAAGTTCAAACCTTCTGTTTCTGTACACCTGCATTGTTCAGGGTTTTCTATCTCTTGTGTACAAACTAAATTGACCTATTTTAGTTTTTTTTTTTCTTTTTCCAGAATTTATCAGGTGCTGGTCTCTCTGGATGTTTCTTGTTTAAATTGGAAACATCCTCAGCCTGCCCACAGACTGTCACGGTGTCCAGTGAGAAGGGACCTGTGGACAGTGGCTCTTGAGGGTCTGAGCAGGAGTCGGGCCCTCGGGCGCCCTTTCCCGTGGGGCAGAGGCCCCCTCTGGCTCACCTGCTGTCCCGGAGAAGTGAGGGTTGGGCCCGGCCTGGGACGCAGCCTGTCTGAGCAGCACCAGCGCGTAGGATATGGCTCAGGCCTGATGTCCATAAGTCCTGTTCGGCCGGGGGAGTGTGACCGGCACGAAAAGCGCCTCCTGGAGCTGGAGGAGGGGACGGCTGCTTTGGCTCGAGGCGCTTGTGCCCTGAATGGGCGAAAGCCACTGCAGCAGACTCCTCGGGACACAGCCCCGTGTCACCCTCCAGCAGAACCAGCAGCGCCCCGCTCTTTGCCCCATCTTGGGCAAGCCCGTGTCAGCCGCTGCCGCTGAGAAGAGTGACACCTGAGGCCCGCTGACTACGCGCCGGAAGGAGCAAGAGGCGACTTGGGTGTGGGCAGCAGGACAGTCCCGTTGAAGCCAGGATCTCATAGCTGCCAGCAGCAGTTTTTATTGTAATTAAGAACCTGATCCTTAAACTGAAGTATTTTAGAGTTACATGTTTTTGAACATTTGGGCTTATTAGTCATCTGATTAGATTGTGTTAAAACATAGGTGAGTCTTCCTAGATGTCTAAGTCTTTTTTGTAAAAACGCAAAAGTTTTGGGGCTTGGGAAGGTGGGCCTACGTCACAGTCATGTGGCCATCTTCAGGGCTGGTGGGTTTGAAGAGATACGGACCTGCGCTGCACCGCTTAGGCACCGAGGGCATTGTTAGTGGTGTTGCCCCTGGCGCTGGCTTTTAGGAGGGAGGGTTTGTTTGCGTGGCTTCCTTGTGGTCACCGTGGCGCCTTAGGGTGGGACCAGGCCTGGGCCCGGGGAGCACTGGGTGGTCTCCCCAGCCTCAGCCATCTTCCCAGCCCAGTCCTCGCCAGCGGGAGGTGTAGTTTTAATCTCTTAGTATTATGTACCATGGTCTGTTTGGACCGTTTTGAGAGGTGATTTTAGGATCATAAGGCTAAAGTTTGCTTCTGATATTTAAAGGAAAATGCCTACATTTGTCAAAAAGCAACTGCTTTATTAAGCACAAGCACAGAAAAACATTTCTCTTGGAGGTGCCTTAGCATAAAAGAAAAAAAAATGACTTCAGGAGTTAACGTGTGGAAGGCATTCGGTTGAACAATGAAATCTTTTTCCTATTGCTCTGTCAGTGGCAATTATAATTAACTTAAAAGTTTTAGAGTGTGTCTCTTTTTTCCAGGAGAAAAAACATCAAATTCCAAAGCTCAGTTTTAGGTAAATTTTTGCAGTGACTTTTCTTACTCCAGAATGAAATATATCTGGTTGACTTGTTGAAGGTGACTATCATCTAATGATTGACATACACGTTTATTGAGATTTGGAAGCTGTGATGAGCAAATTATTTTTCATTCTTCCAGAAAACCTTTTCTCCCCCTCCATCCTCTCCTTGCTTTCTTGTTGTGAGGCATAGAAGACGTGAGGAAGACACACTCAGCAATGCACCCCTGGGTCGGCACCTCTGTTGTCCCAGATTCTCATGGAAATACTGCGTGTTGAAGGGAAAGGGAAGGGAGTTTATCTCTTACCACGTTTTTCCTTCTGCCGGTGGGCCTCCCTGGAGCTGGCAGGAGCAGCAGTTTCAGGGCTGGGCTGCAGGCAGTGCGCCTGGGCCCCGCGTGCCGTGCCGACAGTGTGCCCCCTTCAGCCTCGGAGTCGCCTCGCAGCTCCCGGGCCCTCGCGTGGCCAGCGTGGGAGTGCTTCTGCGCGTGGGCTGGGGAAGTTGCCTAACGGTGGGTCTGGCGCAGACTAGGCCACACAACTGGTTTTCTGTTTGGGGGCAGGTGACCGCCCCTGCCTGCGCCACCCAGGACCCCACTGGCCACTCACAGTATTTGGAGGCTCACGGTGGCACCATATTCTGAGTACTGCGTGTGTGAGCCCTCGGGGGCACGGCACCCGCCCTCGAAATGAGCGCAGCAACCAGCAGGGCGAGGCGCCGGCGGGCAGTGCTCAGTGCCAGGACGGCGGAGCAGGGGTCGGTGAACTTCTGTTCTTAGTCCAGAACGAGGGATATTGTCACAGACCGAGTGTCGGCCGTGACAGCACAGTCTGTCCTTCCCTGTGGAACCCAAGGATGTTTAACGCTTTGTTTTCTTTTTACAAAGAATGTCTTGTCGCGCCGTTTTGCTAGACTGAACGTTTCCTCATCTCCTGGTGAGACCCCCCTCTAATTCAATCTTTGTCTTTTGTCTTTGCTGCCTTGCAGGGTTGGTACAGTAGGCTTCACTAGACTTAGCTGCAACTCAGAATTTCTCCTCCAACACCTGAGTAATGCTGATGGTCTTGTGGAGATGGATTAAGAGTACGAGCTAAGTTCTCAATCTCAATTAAGAAGCGGAGGAAAATTTAAACTGTGTCCTTCCAACTTTATCACAACCAGCACCATCAAGACAGCAAACCAAAGGACAAAGACTCTGACCTGCGTGTCGCTCTGTGTAGGCCCGCTCACGTGTGGTTTGCAGACTGAGGTTACTAGGAGTAAACAAAAGGCGAACTCTTCTGTCCCTGGACGCTTTTGTTCAAAAAATTACCAAAATGAGGGCTGTGCTGGAGACAGCAGACATTGCCATAGTGGCCCTGTATTTCGTCCTGGTCATGTGCATTGGGTTTTTTGCCATGTGGAAGTCTAACAGAAGCACCGTGAGCGGCTACTTCCTGGCGGGGCGCTCTATGACCTGGGTAGCGGTCGGTGCTTCTCTTTTTGTAAGCAATATTGGGAGTGAGCACTTCATTGGGCTGGCAGGATCTGGAGCGGCGAGTGGATTTGCAGTGGGCGCCTGGGAGTTCAATGCCCTGCTGCTTTTGCAACTTCTGGGCTGGGTCTTCATCCCAATTTACATCCGGTCAGGGGTGTACACCATGCCTGAGTACTTGTCCAAGCGGTTTGGCGGCCATAGGATTCAGGTCTATTTTGCGGCCTTGTCTCTGATTCTCTATATCTTCACCAAGCTCTCCGTGGATCTGTATTCAGGTGCCCTCTTCATCCAGGAGTCTTTGGGTTGGAACCTGTATGTGTCTGTCATCCTGCTCATTGGCATGACCGCCTTGCTGACCGTCACCGGCGGCCTCGTGGCAGTGATCTATACAGACACCCTGCAGGCCCTGCTCATGATCGTGGGTGCGCTCACCCTGATGGTTATCAGCATGATGGAGATTGGTGGGTTTGAGGAAGTGAAGAGAAGGTACATGTTGGCCTCACCCAATGTCACATCCATCTTGTTGACATACAACCTTTCCAACACAAATTCTTGTAACGTCCACCCTAAGAAAGACGCACTGAAGATGTTGCGGAATCCGACAGACGAAGATGTGCCCTGGCCAGGATTCGTCCTAGGGCAGACGCCGGCCTCGGTGTGGTACTGGTGTGCTGACCAGGTGATCGTGCAGCGGGTTCTTGCGGCTAAGAACATTGCCCACGCCAAGGGTTCCACACTGATGGCAGGCTTCCTGAAGCTCCTGCCCATGTTCATCATTGTGGTCCCAGGGATGATCTCCAGGATACTATTTGCCGACGACATAGCATGCATCAACCCCGAGCACTGCATGAAGGTCTGCGGCAGCAAAGCTGGCTGCTCCAACATCGCCTACCCCCGCCTGGTGTTGAAGCTGGTCCCCGTGGGCCTGCGGGGCCTGATGATGGCAGTGATGATTGCGGCGCTCATGAGTGACCTGGACTCCATCTTCAACAGCGCCAGCACCATATTCACTCTGGATGTGTACAAACTCGTCCGCAAGAGCGCGAGCTCCCGGGAGCTGATGATCGTAGGGAGGATATTTGTGGCTTTCATGGTGGTCATCAGCATCGCTTGGGTGCCGATCATCGTGGAGATGCAAGAGGGCCAGATGTACCTGTACATCCAGGAGGTGGCGGATTACCTGACGCCTCCCGTGGCGGCCCTATTCCTCCTGGCGATTTTCTGGAAGCGCTGCAACGAACAGGGAGCTTTCTATGGTGGGATGGCCGGCTTTGTCCTTGGGGCGGTCCGCTTGACCCTGGCCTTTGCCTACCGTGCCCCAGAGTGCGACCAGCCCGACAACAGGCCAGGCTTCATCAAAGACGTCCACTACATGTATGTGGCCACGGCGCTGTTCTGGATCACGGGGCTCATCACTGTTGTCGTGAGCCTGCTCACGCCGCCCCCGACAAAGGAGCAGATCCGCACCACCACCTTCTGGTCTAAGAAGAGCCTGGTGGTGAAAGAGAGCTGCTCCCCGAAAGATGAGCCGTACAAGATGCAGGAGAAGAGCATCTTGAGGGCCAGCGACAACAGTGAGGCCGGCAACCACATCATCCCCAACGGGAAGTCTGAGGACAGCCTCAAGGGCCTGCAGCCCGAAGACGTTAACCTGCTGGTGACCTGCAGAGAGGAGGGCACCCCCCGGGCCTCTGTGGGTCACTCGGAGGCGGAGACACCCGTTGATGCTTATTCCAACGGCCAGGCGGCGCTCATGGGCGAGAGAGAGCGAAAGAAAGAAGCGGAGGACGGAAGCCGGTACTGGAAGTTCATAGACTGGTTCTGTGGCTTTAAAAGCAAGAGTCTCAGCAAGCGGAGCCTCAGAGACCTGGTGGAGGAGGAGGCCGTGTGCTTACAAATGTTGGAAGAGCCGCCCCGGGTGAAGCTAATACTAAATATTGGGCTTTTTGCTGTGTGTTCACTTGGAATTTTCATGTTTGTTTATTTTTCCTTATGAACCTTTAAGGATACAGTGAAACACTAACTTAAGAATATAACTGGTTTCGGGGGGAAAACCTTATGTAACTGTTGCATCTCTCAGGCATTGTTTACGCTGTAGGTTTTAGCCAAATTTTACTTAGCAGAAAACCATCTTTTTGCAAGACTTTATTTTCCCAGAGATGGATGAAAGTAAATTTTCAACCTAAATGAAGCAGACCTTGTTTAACAGACTTGAGTTGTGCAAATGTGGTTTAAAATTTGCCATACCAAAGTCAGGAGAGACCAGTTGTTCCCACAGGCCCCTCAGAGCAGAGCGGCCCCACCCCTAAGTGGGCCTGTCTGCCTGGCCCGACCTCCTGGGCCTGCTGAGGCAGAGGACTCGCTCGCCGGCCGCCTGTGGCTGCTCTCTGTCCCTGCGCTCCCACCGCCGTTAGCAGGAGAACAGCCACAGGAAGCCGAATTGCCTGGTCCGTGTCGCGTGCTCTCGTTGGACTGAAAACCCACGTGCTTGTGGACAGGTCAGCCGGTGCCAGGCTCCTCAGCGAGAGACTCCCACAACGTCCGTCCCAAGGCTGCGCGGTGCAGGGAGTGGGGGCGCGGGGGCCTGTTTGAGATATGAGGGGGCCCTGTTCTGTCTTTAAAGTTACCTGTCATGATTGTGCTGTCAACTGACTTTGGGGGAGAAAATGAAGTTAGCATTGCTGATGACCCCCACATTTTTTGACCAAATTAAGGTTGTCAATGTAGTCTGGGAGTTGGTGGCCCAGGCAGTGTTTGCTCACCTTGCTGACACCACCACTTCCCCGGAGTCCCTCTTGGCCTTTGGTCACATTCTTGACCAGCCCGGTGCCTTCTCAGGGTTCCATGCAGAAGACCAGCCCAGAAATTCTGAAAAACGTTGGCACTGACCACGTCTTGGCTGTCCCGCTTGATGAGACCACGGTGCATTGAGGTTGAATTTTCAGAGGGAAGATTTCATTCTGAGGCCATAGTGTGTCCTTGATACTTTTTTTCTTTTTCCTGATTTGCTTTTTCCCGAGACTTGCCACCAATTCTCGACCTCTATCATCGTTGAGAATATTGCAGTGACGGGAGCTGGAGGGGGGTCTCTGTCTTCAGTGGGCTCAGCCCTGGGCAGTCTGTGGCGTGCTCCAGAGGAGTGCGCGCAGGGAGCAGGCCGTGGCTTTGTCTGTGTCTGAGGGCTGTGCAGGCCTGTGCACGTCACGTGGGGGCCTCTGGCTTGCGCTGGGGGCTGCCCTCTCATTGCTTTCCTGTGGGGGAATTGGTCTCTCTCTCCAGGCTGATTCTCCGTCCTGAGGTCTGGTTGGGAGACACCTGAAGGCTCTGCAGCTGGTGTGGGGTGCGGCCGCTGTCCCATCCCCCCAGACAGAGGGAAGTCAGTGGTCTGTGTATCTACTTTCTTTGACTCTGTTTCCTGTAGTCGCTGATACTTTTTAAATTGCATGATTTTACTAAGCTTGTATTGTTTAGGGAACAGTGTTCCTTTTTTTAGATACTTTTGTAGATTTTGAATCAACTTGGTCCTAATGACTTAACATTTTTTGTATTCTGTATACTAGTGTCACGATGACGGACTCGACGCGTCCAAAGCGGATTTTAGAGATGTTCAGGTAGCATAATGTCTTCCAGCGCCAGGAGACTTTCTGGTGGACTGAGTCTGTAGGTAAAAAAAATAATTCATGTATGAGTAGCATGATTTCTGAGAGATTAGAGTGCCTTGTAGAATTTTTTTCTCAACTTACTTTCTTAAGGTTTCTTACCTGGGGGCCAAATAAACGGGGACCATTCTTTTCTCCTGTGGGGGCTGTGAAGCTGCGAAATGGACACGGTCACCGAGTCTTTTGGAAGAACAGAACCAGACATCTATAGCTGGACCCCTGGTCTGTTGTCTTTTCTCAAAGGAACTGTTCTCCCGTTGAGACGACAGGTGTTTGGGGGAAATAACAGAATCTTCGGTTTTCCAACTTGGCATTAAGTTGTAGGAATTAAAGTCTCGTCTTTTGTTTGGACGCTGCACACATTGCTGTTGTGGTTCAGCAGTGAGCATACACAAACAGGGCAGCCTCTTCCCCTCCTGCTTACAGCCTAAAGGAATGGGGGTGTTGATGAGGGCCTCCCCCACCCCTTTTTAAATACTGAGTCCTAATAGTTTGGAGTACTAGGGTCCCCTGCCTTCTATCTATCTGCTGTTGTCTTAGTATACTTCACACAGCTCATCCCGTGTGTCTATGCGTGTGTATATAGCAGTAGGTCAAGTGTAGAGAACTGATGTCTGTAAATAAGGAATGACTATTAGCATACCCATTAGGATTGTTTATTCTTGCCAGTATAAACATCACTTTATTTAGATTGAAGTCCCTGAAGCTTGCCTGTCTTCTTGCTTCCCAGTAATAGGTAATGTGCTTGAATACGTATGTGAATTGCCGATTGCAACTTCATTTCAGGGGACCGTTTTTCAGTCTGTTTCATTAGAGTGATTGCTGATGGGAAGATATGTGGTCTGTCTTAAGCTTGCAAGATGTTGGTACTTGACCCTAACAGGGTCCTGTGTGGTGACCTTACCTCAGAAAGATGTGTGTTTTTGCCTTGTCTCAAGCGAAGGGTCAAAACTGACCGGGAGTGACAGAGACTGATCAGTGAGGGCACTGGACCTCAGAGGTGGAGAGAAACACCCTCTCGCTCTTGTTAATGTTGTCCCCCGTTCTTTGGTTTTTGTCCTCTCTGGCAACCTTAGTCTTGAGAGTTGATGAGAAGAACTTGCTATTGTGACAGGCAGGATGATCTGTGACCTCTGACTTCCATGTTTGCCCAAGACTGTTGTTCTGCCTCCGCGGGTTAGTAAGTTGCTTCTGAAACTGCTGAGCCAGACTTTCTCTTCCAAAATTCTCTCCTGGCGAGGGCATCAGCCCCTTACGACTTGGGCTTGGATCCAGCCGGTCTGCTCTCCCAGGGCTTCCCGGGCTTCCCTTGCTCTTGACTCGGAGAGTCCATCGTCCTGTTGCACAGTGGCTGGCCATACCTGCCTGCGCTTAGGGCCAGCACGACACCTCGTGCCACGTTGCTCCTCTGAGCTTCACGTCTGAGGACTTGGGCAGGCAGTGGGTGACTCTGTACTTACCTGAGGCGGGTGGGAGGGGACAGAGGCCCCGTCCAGGGCCATCAACATCCTCGGGCTCTGCCTTTCTAGCCCGATGTGCGTGTCTTCCGCTCCGTGTCCTCTCCGACTGTCTCCTGGGGCCGGAGGGCATTCTCACCCTTGCCACCCGTAGGCGGCACTGGCCGGCTTGCTCTCCTTACACGGCATCACCCCTGTGGCTTCCCTGAGGTGTGATGGCTGGTCGGATCTGTGGTGTATCGCAGTGGCACCCACCGTCTCGCCTCTGGGTTGAGATGTATGAAGACCATTCCTGTTAAATTCTCTGACCTGCCAGGTAGAATTGTCCTAAGAGGTCAAACTTTGAAGCCCCTGAGAAGTTTCTTGGTGGTACAGACTCAAGTTGGTGAAGGACAAACATTAGCGTAGAGTTGGAGAAGTGGAGGCTCCTTGATGATCAGCTCGTGTAGAGACCTCCCCATGGAGATTCCAGCACCAGTGAGTAAGGGCAAGCCAGCAAACCCTGGCATGGCACTCCACATTGGCAGTTGTGAGCTTGCTAGTAAGCACAATTGAGATTAAAATGAGTGATACTTGATATTGAAATTTAAGTGGGAAAAATGGCTTTTAGTTTCCAGTATTCGTAAGAGCTCTTGTCGGCCAGGTGTTAAATTGCCCGACACCCCACGTGGGCACAGCCAACAGACCCTAGGGACACGGTCTGTCCTGGCCACGTGTGCCCGCCTGCTGCTCAGAGACTGGCCGTTGCCTTGCACTTGCCTAAATCTTCGCCTGGTCTCTCAACACCCACCAGGTTCCTGTTTCGCTCTTTTGTCAGCCCTGTTCGCTCTTTGGGCTTTTTGCCACAGTGTGAAAGTGTACCTTGGACCCCGTGTTGAAGACATGGGTCCAAGTGATGATGTGCGCCGCGTAGTCACGTGGCGTCTGCTACGTTTCCACCGGCTTAAGCTGTCATTCCCAAGAATGATCACTTCAGTCATTGTGGTCACGATGAACAGAAGCCCTCACACTCACTAGTGCTCTATTCTCAAAGCTCCTGTGTTAAAAATGAGGGGGGCAGCAGCACGTAAAGCTCATGTGTGCCCCTCTGACGTGATGTCTGGTGACGCAGAGGACTGGTTTGAGCTTTGCTGCCAAAAAGCCTTGTTCTTGAAGAGAAGGTTAAAGGTCGGGTAGCCGCTTGGCCTTAGGACGCCTCTTGTGAGTGTCTGGCTGGGGCGACGCCACGTCTGTCCTCACTTGGAGCAGCCCGCTCCTCCGTTCAGGTCACGTCCAGCCTGGTAGCTCCCGCCAGACGCTCCCCTCTGCAGCCCGGCTGGGCCCTCAGCTGCATTGACGTTTCGAGCACAAGGCCACGCCGCTGTTCACTCTCCATGTACCTGCACGTCAACCTCTCTCTCCAGTTCTGGGAATAGGTGTCACACTGCTGATGTCACCTTTAAAGAAATGTTGTAAGAATTGATTTAATTTTGTGTTCCTGTTTCCATCTCAGGTCCTTTATAAAGGATTTAGTTTTCTGTTTTGGGTGAAGTGCCCATTTATCTGGTAACTAACAGCCTTAGCCGTCGGCACGTTGTCCCTGGAAACACGGAGTTTTGTTGTGTGTCTTTGCTCAGCCCACGCGCTTTACTTCAGGAGCGGACCACAGCCTGTGACCGTTGGCTTCAGCCGGCGACCTGGCTGCGTCAGCCTGTGTCTGCCCTGGTGACTTGGCTTCTTAGATGCTTGAAGAGCATGATGTTGGATGAGAAGTGGCTGATGAGGGAGGCAAGACAAAGCACAGTGGCCTCAGATTACCATCAGTGGGAGCGGTGGCGGTGCGCTCTCCAGCAAGCATGAACTGTGACCTTGCCTATGATAGTGACCCCTCCTCCCAGCGCAGGACAGTTGGTGGTGGTGGACGCTTCTCAACACGGGAAGTACGTTTCAGTGATTTCAGCCACAGCACAAGTTGACAGTAAATGATCACAGTCTCAGTGAAGACTTGGGTTCATAGTGGCTGCTTCACCCTGAATCTGAGTGCTGCCGGATGTGAAGGAGTATTTGCTTTGTTTGTATTGCCTTTTGACAGACCAGCCTGGATGATTTTTTAATGATATATCTATCATTGTATCCTAGACATTATGTTAATTAGTGGAATATTCTTTAACAACATTTTTTATTATAACAGTTGGAAACTAAATTTAAGCTCTTTGCTATCGTTGAAATTCCAAGTGGGCAAGGACCATTCTTAAGGGTATCACACAATGTAATCAGCTTCTGAAATTTGTGTTTTGATTAGTGCCTTCTGGTCACCAATATTGACTCTGCTAGTTTACACCTTTCCCTCTCTTGATAGAAAATTCTTGTTACAGTTCCTCTTTTTAAATTTTGTTATAACTAGTAAAGGAAAGAAAAATACATTTATATTTACATACTTTATATGCAGCCTTTATTTAGTTTCAAGGAAATCAAGTAGCCCTAATTTGTGTAACAGCTCAAATGGTATTTATTCATCTG